CTACAGTTGCTTGGTACTCAGTGTCACATGACTTGATGCTCAGTATCACATGACTTCATACCCAGCAACAAACCAACCGCCGTGTTTGCGCCCTCTCCCTGATACGCAGTACCATTTCCTTCCACTCTCAGTGTCACATGGCTCGATGCTCCGCACCGCATGGCTTCGTACTCATTGTCAGATGGCTTGATCCTCAGTATCACATGATTTTATTCTCAGTATCAATCCTGCCATGTTTACGGATCAGTATCAGCCCGCCCTCCCTGATACGCAGTAGTATCATTTACTTCCACTCTCAGTATCGCAAGGCTTGATACTCGTTGTCAGACGGCCTGATTCTCAGCATCACATGGTTTCATATTCAGTATTGCATGGCTTCACGCTCAGTATTCAGCATCACATGGGATCACACTCAGTATCACGTGACTAGCTTTGGTCCCAGTACCGTTGGTTACGTAAGATATCACACCCCCTGGATCGATTTTCAAAAGTCGATTGCTCGACGACAAAGAGAATGCCGAAATCAAAGGATATGTTTTCGGAAAGCTCTCGGCAAGACGGGTCCGATGCCGTCGTTTTCGGCACCGGCGCTGCTTTTCTTGCCGAGAAATCCAGCTTCGATAATCGGTCCAGGGGGTGTGATATGCAACCTACGGTATTACAAGGCTCCATACGTTGTATCCACCCAACAACAATGATATTATTCATGTCACCCAGCATCGAACGACCCTGACGTATGGCTGGATACTCAGTATCACAAGGCTGGATACTCAGTATCCATCAACAGCAGTGCTTTTGAGTGGGGCCTTGTATCAAGCTGTATCTGATAGTGAGAACCAAGCCGATGTTGAGAGTGGAAAGAACTGCTACTCAGTTATCATATTGGGGGGATCGATAATTCGTGCGCACCACCGAAAAACCACCATCATTATCAGCGGCAGCAGTATTCGTGCCAAGTACGCATTAGACTGTATGTAGCACATCTGTCTATCTATCGAGGCGGTCGTGACGCCGCATCGTACCGAGGGAGAATCTGAGAGTCTTCAGCAGCACACAGCAAGCAGTACTCTGTAGTACCTTTCTATCCCCGTTCGTGACGCCATCGTGCCAAGCCACGGCATTCGAACTATTTATTAGCTGGATTACTATCAACTGGGGAAGCAGCCGTGGCACGCTGCCATCTATCATGGTATAACTTTGCTCTAAAGAAATGAATTCGACACCGCTGATTGAAAATACCTCTTTTCGTAAATAGGTATTTTTTCACTCGTCTTCGTGTACCCTTGGGCAACATGTTTAGTCTTCGAATGAAATCAGCACTAGTAAATACGTAAATACGACCGTACGCAGATAGGATATATATTTTTTGGGTTCGTTGAGGTTCGCTTTGCTCTTCGAGTCCAAAACACGACTGTGTGAGCTGCTCGGGCTTGGGAAACGTCACAGCTGGCAGCTGGCAGCCAGCTGTGGGCTGGTCCTGCTGCCTGCTTTTTTATTCATCTTTTGTCGCCCCACGATGAAACCTTTGATTGGTGCTCCTACTCCGGAGGGGTGTAGTTCGTCTATTCTGGCGTCACTCTACACATGTTTCGGTTGATAAGTTTGGCGCATCAGTCGGGTTCACAAAGGAGGAAGGTCGGAGACATTATTTCTCGTATTTTCTTGTTTTATTGCCCCACTTTTCCTCCTGCGGTGCTTGCCTTCGGTTCATCGCGAGAAATATTCTACCTTCCCTTCGCCTTCAGTGAAATCGAAGTCGGCACACACCCACGAATCAATAGTTTCCCACTGCAACGTGCAGATACTGTATTTTTTTGCTTCTGAGAGAGAATCGAGCTCTCATATACTACAAGTAGGTTGACGAAATGGATCACTTGGTAGATCACCGGGACGAACGGTATGCTAGGAAAACGCCCCCAATGTCCCACAAAAGTACCTAGCTTCCATGAAAGCAACAATATTTCTTCCATGAGAGTCGCATCGGCGTTTATGCGCTGGTTGAGTTTAAATTTCATGGCAGCTTGAACGGTTAGGAAGTGAAATTACTTGCGTCGAAGTGGCATCGACATGGTTGCGCTATTAGTCGAGTTTGACTTCGGAAGTTCTGGTGAAAGGTCTTTGCGATTTTGTGCACGAAAGACAACAGCGTTCTTTACCCCCGACTTATGTGGAAGCCCATCATCACTTCCATGGAAGCTTGTATGAAGGTTGTATGTATACAAGCTTCCATGGAAGCGTCATGGCAGCTGGCGCCAGAAATAAACCAAAACCCTCAATATAGCTTCAATGGAAGTCCCATAGCTGTACAACTTTCTGTGGAGACCAATACCTGTACAACTTCCTGGAAACCCATGTTGACTTCCATGGAAGCTTGAACACGATATCAAAAAATGTAGGTTGCCACAATCTCCCAATGGAGACACGCTCACTACCGCCTGCTTCGAAGCAAGAGGAATAAGTACTACGATATATTGTGTTCCAGGATCTGCGTGCACAACGGGCCGCAGTTTAGGCACACCACGCTCTGTCAAGAAAAGAGGCTAATAATTTCACGAAAAGTTGAACAGAGGGTGTGAACGAAGTGCGGTGGATCCTGCATTTTTTTTTTTGTCTTAACTTCAAATCAGCTCTCACAGCGCTATAATAGTGCCGTTTACTCCAACCCGTGGTCACACAGCAGAGCCCCTCTCTACCCTTCCCTCCTGCGGTACTTTGCCTTCGATGTTTGGTGCGAGAAGAGTTCAGCACTCTCTTCCCTCTGTGTAACATCGAACTAGCGCTATCCACTAGGCCAGGAGCGGAAGCGAGAGAAAAACTCACTTTGCAAGAAAAGCTCGCTTACGCCGGGATACGAACCCATGACCTGACCTCTAGAAGGTTTCGAGGATACCAACTAGACCACCGGGGCGACCGGCATTACGTTCTTTTTATTCATAGGTGCTCGACGGTGGCGACGAAAGAAGTAATTGAGCCTCGACCCGACGTTTGATACTTATTTGTTTCGGGATCGTTCTGTGTCCTCCTTGGGCGGGTAGAAACTTGCAATCGTTTCCACGTACGAAACGCATACAAAGCCCAAGAATCGTGTTATTCGGTTGGAATTATTCGAAGTTGTGAAGATGGTACCCCGGGCATGTGCTTCATGTAAATAGTGCTAACCTGAACCTTTGGCGCGAGAAGGGACAGTTTTTGCAGCGCCCTCGTCGACCGTGGACTTGACGGGTGTGTACACACCTGTCACTCGGTTGCCACACACTTGGCTTGGGCGTAGCGTGAGCGAAAATCGCAGTTCGTGTGACTGCGTCACGATTCAAACACCCATCCCAACTGCCAGAAGTTTGCGAGGCATAACTGGGGCGAGCAGTGCTTCGGCGTGGTCTACAAAGAGTCAAACGATTCAGCTACATAGTGTGTGCTCATACATACATGGGTACTAATATGGGTGTGGTGCTTCGTTGCGGGAGAGAGCGACTTAAGTGATCCCTTTGCGCTGTACACCTTTTGCTCTCTTCACCCCTCTTGTCACTTTTCCGGCGCGCACGCTCAGTTTTGGGTCGAGGTCGGTTCTGTTTGACGCGCGTTGTCGTAGACAGCTTGAACTATGGACGTCCCCTTAGCGCGCCCCCCATGCTTGCGTTCTCGTGTATGGTGCAGGGCTAGCCTTTCCCCCCAGCGGCTCACGCTGCTTCCACGGACGGATTCTACGACTGCAGGTTGCAATAAGCGCGACAGCTTGACAAGGTGGGTAGCGGGGATAGCGATGCACACCCCCACTTTGGCCCGACGATGCGGCACCGGGTGGCAAGCCAGCGGCTCCCTGATCAGGGCACTGCCATCCTCTCGACACCGTCTTCTCTTCACGGACGACCTCGCTACTCGGCCGGGAGGAGAGGAGCACGGAGGACCACCGCCGTCGACTAGGGTTGCCGGCGCGTCGATTGCTCCCAAAGCGACCGTGACATCTTCAAGCCCGGCCTGGAGCACGTATCGGGGTGCTTGGCTCTCTTCGCTTGCCGGCCCGAACGACGAGTACGTTGCTGGCGATGCGGCAGTCTTGGTCAGCCGCGGGAGGGGCGGCGGAATAGGCGGCAAGGGCAACGCGTTAGCCCTGTTCCCCGTGGGCTTCAGCAGCAGCAGCAACAGCAGCAGCAGCAGAAGCAGCAACAGCAGCAGCAGCAGCAGCAGCAACAGCAGCATCGATTTCACCGTAGTAGAGGACGGGACGGAGAAGTTCCTCGTCGCGGCACGCGTGCTGGAGGCGAACCGGGCGATCTTCGCTCGAGTGGAAGGCTTTGTCACGGGCGTGAGCACGCGGCACAGCGTGCAGGTCAGCAAAGGGCGACACCTGGAGGCCAGGTGTGACCTCGTATTCCTGAATCATTCATGCGAGCCCAACTGTCAGCTGGAGGTGGTGGACGCGGCGGTGAGTAAGCATCCCAGACACGTCGAACTCACACGTGCACCCTTTCCCACCCTTGTGTTCAATGTCAGCCCATGGCTATAGCCAAGCATGGAACAGCATATAGGCGCATCGCTGATAGATATCCAACATACATAGGTCGGTGAGGGTACGAGATGTTTGGCAGGAGAGGCTTCTACACGGAATCTTCATTTCGAAACGCATCTGGCTGGCGGGCCATGTCCCCGCGGGACGTCGTTCCCGCCCGTGTATCTCGGTGACAGGATGAGAACAAGATGCCAACACCCGACGTGGCATCTCACGGAGACGTACGCGTGATACATTGTTCTTAAATTCCCCCGCACTACTCAGGACGAATGGGTTGGATGGAGGTCATCGGCAAATCCAAACCCGATTGGGATCAGAAAAGGCGTTATAGAAATCCTAAAGTTCTCGACCCTCGAAAAGTAATGCAGCAATGACCGCCGCGCGCATGCAATAAAACACCTTCTGCAACCCGCAGGAACAACCGTACCTGCGTGTGACGGTCAGGGCGCCCCGAATCCAGCCGAACGAATTGCTGACGATCGACTATAATGCCATGGAGATCGACATGTCGTGTCCCTTCGAGTGCCAGTGCGGCGCGGTCAGATGCAGAGGCTTGGTGTCCGGCTTTTCAAACCTTTCTCGGGTCGAGCAGAAGGAGTATATCAACGGGGGTGCGACGAGGTCCCCGTCCCTTACCGGCGCCGTGAAAATGTGGGCTGAGGAACACAACATTGTATAAAGAGACTTGCAACGCTGTGTGGAAACAACGCGGAGGATGAACAACCGGGCGTGCGGGCGGCGGTGCGCGGGGGGTCGGGGGTGAGCTATGGCGGCGGCGGCTAAAGCTTGAACGTCGGAACCTCATCGAGCGTAGATCGAAGGGCCCTATCTATCCTTCCCTCTCTCCCTCCTCTTGGCTAGTGCCACGAAACCACGAAGAACGAAAACTCGTAAATACGAGTAGACTACTGTAGACCGTTAGTTGTTTTGGCCATCTGCGCGTATGCTTTGTGTTTGCATTATGCTGCGTGGGACGTGTCCGCCCCTGAACAGATTTCCCCCGATACCCTCTCTGTCTCGTGCGTTGTATTTGCGGGAATCGGGAAAAACGTTAGTATGTCCTGGCCTCAACCTGCAGCTTGTACTGGCGGTATCCGCCAACAGACATGTTCGTGTGGCAGCCATCTCTCTTGGCATATCGTACATGTAAACGTGAGGAGACTACGGATGACGACTGTCGTTTTATCCCTAAATGCTTCAAGAATGACCAAAGCATAGTCTAAGCACGACGCGCAACGTGACCAACGCAGGCTGAAAAGATTGTACGCCTTCCACGCGCTGACACATGCGTGGGTTATTGTGGCTGTTATGTATGGGGTGGGGCGGGGCTGGTCAGTTACGTGTTTTATTTTCGTGTTTGATGGGCGTGGCGTGGGGGTGGGGGGTAGGGGAGAGGCTCCTGTCTTGGGTTATCCTGCTGTATTTGGGAGGAGAACGTGGAAGCTTCTAGAATGCCGGTCGCCGCGGTATTCTAGTTGGTATCCTCGAAAGCCTTCTAGTGGTCAGGGTCAGGGGTTCGAATATCGGCGGATGCGAGCCTTTCTGGGAGGGGGGTAGGGGTCGGGGTAAGGGGGAGAAGACGAGGAGGACGGGGAGATGAGGAGGAGGAGGAGGAGATGAGGAGGAGGAGGAGGAGGAGGAGGAGGAGGAG